AAATCGCATCAAGATGCTGCTACACCAATCCAAATTGGCCTTTTATTAACACTGAAGAAGAACAGTCAAAACGACTGCTAACTGTAATTCTAGGTTATGTAAATAATAAATCAAAATAAATAAAAAAATAATAGTGATTTGAAACAACCCAAAAATTATTTTGTCATCTTGTTATAGAGAGAGGGTGTTTATGTATTCAATTGCAAAGTATTTAAATACAATCTCTAACAGCAATAAATAAAATAATAAACCAAAACTTACAGCTTAAAAATAAATAATATTCGCCAGCCATTTTCCAAGACATGGACTCAATGCAGAACTATCTGTAGAACACATTGTGAAAATTATTTAGCAGGAGATAAATGGAAAAACATTTTGACCCTTGGTGAAGAATGGGTTTAGCTGAGTGACTGCACAAAAAAAAAAAAAAAAAAAAAAAAAAATGAAGTGTTTCACATTTTAAATGAGTCCAAAGAGGCATTTTTTTAAAAACATTTTGTGTGTTATATTTATTAAATATCATGTTCTTCACACTTAAAAAATAAAATTCAGTTCAACAGCAATGTTGTAAAATAGTTTGAAAATGAGCATATCTTTAGAATTTCCGATACAGAGACTTGTGCACTGGAGATAAAAAACATTTTTTTTTTTTTTTTTTTTTTGGTACAATGTTGTCATTGCTCACCTTGAAATCCCTGAGTTTGTTAATCAAATATTTGTTAAAGTTTTACAAAATATAAAATCAATAAAAAACAAATTTCAAACTTGGTCTTCTACATGCTCATATTCGTAGGAGGATTACATCATTCAAAATTTGATGGCTCTATGTACTGTTGTTTGATCACAATGCAAGAAACATACATACATTTATGCAGATTTTTCATTACTTAATTTCTTCAAATATAATACAGGACTCTAACATTTGGTGGCAACAGTTTGAAAAGTGATTTACTGTTTATAATGATTCAATGAAAAATCGCAAAACGAAAACAACAGTCTTTCAGGGACAAAGGCCCTTTGAACTAAAAAGTCTATTTATTATGGAAAACAAACAGAAAAAAAATGTACAAACCTGGTTCCACCAATACAAAGAAAGTTTCAGTAAGAGGTTTATGACTGTTGCACGATTCACTTACAATGGGAAATTTAAAATAAGGAGAGTGAAAAAAAATATTACAATCAACTCAACTTGCTCAACATATTGAAACATGACTTAACATTCACTTAGTAAACACTAGATTTAACTTCACTTAAAAAACACTAGACTTAACATTCGCTTACATTTTCAATTCTTTGGATAAAGTTCTCTTTCTTTCAAGTTAAAATTTGGATACGAATTTACTTTGTTTTTCCCTTTGGGGAGGGCCAGAATTTTAGGGTGAACTATTATAATTAAAATACATTAGAATGGTTCAGCTAGCTAATTCTGGATACAAAAAAGGAAGGATTTTTTTTTTAAGGAAGAGATATTTTAATTGATTTCAATGTTCCTTCTCCTGACAAAGTGGAACTGAAGTTGATTGAAGTCCTCTTCTTTTATATTCTTTAAAGTTAATTAATTTTTTGAATTACTGTTTTACTTGTTTGAAATATTTCAGTTTTAACATTTATTAAATTCTTTTACACATTTATAGGGTTTTTTTAACATTTATTACTTATGAATTTCAATTTTTGGTCTTTGTGCGAAATTGGTTCTAAATTTCTTACCTTATGCCTTTACTGATGTATATATGGAAGGAAAATAAAGAATGTGAAAAGGATTAAATTAGCAGCGTAAATTAATTTCCCTTCCCTATTCTAAAAATAGCAACATCTATTTGTACTGCGTCATTTCGAGAAAAATCTATGTCACGTGACTCTTACGTAATTCTGGTGATGTAAATTGAACTAAAACTCAAGCAGCCAATAATAATTTTACAGCAATATTAACTATCCAATCAAAATGCTTTGAAAACCAAAACTAACTCAGTCTGACGTGAGATTTCATCCTGAACAATACGCGCTTGCTTTCCACGTTTTGGCCTAGCTACACTGCTGTCTGTCTGCTGCTGCTTTCTTGCTACAAAGTTATCCAAAATGTAAGCCTTTTGGAACAGTCACATTTAATGTGCCAACTTATGTGTAGCCGCAACATGTTGATGAAAATAAAACTGAAGATTTAATCTGCCTTTGCCTCCAATTATGGATCAACACTTCATTATGGATCAACACTTCTGCGCCATCAAAATTCCTGCTCCTGAATACATACTTCCGACTGCAATAGAACGGGGAGGTGCACAACTAGATGCTACAGAAGTCCCATAGATAAAATTTAAATATTTTATGGCTAATTGTTCTTCAGTTATGCAAAAACGCACGTACATACGTACAGATGTCACGAAAAAGCATTTTGAATTCATTTTTCATTTTACAATCCGTTTTAGAAAAAATAGTCCTTTATTACATCCGTACATATACATGGCATGGAAAAAAAACATCTAAATAGATTTGGGAACAATCCAAATGGATATTTCTACTGAAATATGATACCCGAAATTTTTCACAATTACAACACTTATTTGCTTCATAAAAGGAAGAAAAAACACTTCTATCCACCAAACAAAAGCTTCTAGTTCTGCTATAAACCCACCCATTTCAGACTTTGTATCACAAGATCTTAGAAGAAAAAAACAACTGTTTATAAAGAAACAGAAAATATTTAATTTATCAATCTAAATGTTTAATTTGTATACCCCGCAAAATTTTATTAAAAAATAACTTCTGTTCAATAAAAGCTCTGCTCAATTAAAAAAAAATAACAAATTATGGCAATAAAAACTTAGAATTTGTTCTAATTAATTATATTGGGTTTTAACAAAAGTTTCCTGCCACCGCAAATATCGTCTGCACAAACAGTTTCATTCATGTGTTTAATCATGTTTCGTCAAACGATTTTTGGCATTCGAAAAAAAGACACTTGCTTTAACACTGTGTTGTGAAATTTGTAAAAAAATACAGTAATTTTTAAGTATAAGGTATATGAAATGGAACTATCAGGCTGCTATATCAGAATCACGATTTATTTCCAGTTCTGTTGCAAAAAATCAGCTACTACAATTTAGTGTCACCAGATCATGTGTACAGCTTTAGGTACTAGTGTTGTGACACAAGACACTGTGAAAGTTTGGTCTCGAAAGTTCAAAAACAAGGACTACAACATTCAAGAAGCAGAGTGCTCTTGCCAGCCTATTGATGTTGATGAGACTTGGCTGCAGGAACTTGTGAAAGAGGATCAGTATGCAACCATTCGAGAGCTTGCTAAGGAGTTAGATGTTACTGCCATGTCCTGCAGTAAATGCATGTTGAACTATGCATTTATAAACTTGAAGTTCAACCGCTAGGTGTGCAGGAGCTGATTCAAGCAGATGAGGACAAGCGTGTTCAGGCCTGCACTGATCTGCTCGAATATCAACATAAGGACAAAATTCTGGACCAGATTGTCACTTGTGATGAAAATAGGATTTACTTCCAACAACATAGGCTGAAAAGGGTGATGGTCTGCCCCACGGTGAGACCATTGGCAGCATTGCAAAGCACAATTTGACTAACATAAAGATTCCGCTTTGTATCTGGTGGGATTACCACAGCATTATTTACAAAGAGTATCTGGAAAAAAGTAGAAACCCAGAGAGTAAGATGTAGATAGATGGTAATCCGTGTTGACACTGTTATCAAGGAAAAATGTTGAACTGAGTTCCAAAGCAAAAAGCTAATGTTCTATCAAGATAATGCAAGGCCACATGTGTCTGCATTCACTGGCTGAACACTACGGATTTGAATGGGATCTTTTGGCACACCCACCATACAGTCCCAACATAGCTCCTTTGGACTTCAACTTTTTTCACATTTGCAGCTACATCTTGCTGGTGCTAGTTTCCGTTCTACACAGAATGTCTAAAATGAGATTGATCTGTTTTTGGACTTGCGGCCACGAAGTTTCTGGGCCGCAGGCTTCGAAAAACTACCAAAACCTTGGCGGAAAATTAGGAGTTTCGGAGGTGCTTATTACCTGCATTTAAATTTTTAAGTTACCGCATTCATGGATTCCCACCTAACTTTACTAGGAAAGGATCCCCCCGGGAAAGCTTTTGTTACAACCAGATATTTTAACTTTTCAAATATCTGTTTGCATCAGTTTATATAAAAATTTTAAGATATTCCCATTTAAAGTCCCCCTCCTCCAAAAAATTACATATAGTCATAACTTGCTAATCAGCTGCCCAATTTCGTTTTCTAAATTCACTTTTCATTATTACTTCCAGAAAAATGTGCGATTCTGGTATGATGAACATGTACTGCTTTTAATTTTAGTCCAAATCTAACTATTGCAATCTTGCTGAATTAAAACAATTCCAGGTCTTCAGTTAGGAGTATAAGTTTAGCAACATTTAGCAATTTGCTTCAATACTTAACAAGGAAATCCAGTGGTTTCCTATAGCCTTAACAATCAATGTAAATATTCATGTGCATACATTCATACAAATACTGGATCATCTGAACAGATCAGCACATTTTCTTCTAATTATAATGATAAAGTTAATAATAAGTGATCTTCATCGAAATGGTCCAGTAAATAGGCTTTTCAACTTTGCACAATTCTAACATATTTTGTGCAGGGCTAAGAATGCAGAACTCAAAAGTTTATTTTCATCATACTATGCTCTGTTAATTTTAAAAGCAAAAAGTGCTAAACAGACTGCTTGTAAACTTTGTGCAGTGTATGAACAGAATGCTGTTTCTGAGGGCTCACTTTGAAGGTGGTATGAAACATTTATACATGGAAATTTCAGCCTCAAAGATGATACCGACTCTGGATAATCACCCTCTGTAAACAAGGACCTATTAAAAAAGCTATTTTTAAAGCTATCGGGGTTTAAGAAAATAAGATCCTAAATTTAGCTTCATAGAATTTTTTTTTACAGAAATCATTTTTTCTGGAAGTTAAGAATTAAAAAGCTTACATTTTGCCCCGGACCTCATAAATGAATGGATTAGTCTGACATAGGTTGCTAGCAATTTTGAGGAATTCGAAAGCTGCCTCAATTTCATTACTTTTATAAAGTTTTTCTGCTTCTTTAACTCTAAAAAAGAAATAGCACTTATTAATATGCATTTCTATGAATTTCATTCAAACTGATAAAAACACATAATAGGAATATAACATTTACTGCACTGGATGAAAATAAGTCTCATTTTCAATACTGATAAAACTTTCATTGTTTTAAAATAGAATCTAGTTTCTTTAAACACAAATCTGTAGGAACATGATTAAGATAAAGTACTGACATATAAGAAAGGAACACAAACATGCATTGCACCTTAAATATGTCTGAGTTTGCAAAATAAATATTCATAACACCTAAAATAAATCTTAATACATTAATACAATACAGTACAAAGCCTGATATCCGGAATGATATAAAATCCGGTCCTCAAAGCCATCACCAACTTTTTTTTACTTACTTATTCATTTTAAATTTTATTTATTTATTTATTCATTTTCAATTTATTTACTCATTTATTTTGTGTGTGCTTTATGCATGCACATTTGACTCCTTTGTAACTTTGTAACTGAACAAGAAATTACGCCTGTCTATAGAATTAAAGAGAAAGTATTAGATTAGCACAAAAAAAAACGAAGCAACTTAAGCATCTTGAAAGGAAATGTTTAATAAAGTAAACAAATAAAAATGAAGCCTTTCCCCCCCCTAAATTTTGATAACCTTTAGATCATAAATGCTTCATTATTTCATAAATCATGATTTCATATTTTTAATTTTTAATATTTCTACATGCCATCTTACTAGATTTAAACTGATAATCTAATATCCAGAAAAATCCCAAATCCAGAATCGTGGAAGTACCGAAGAATACAGATCTCAGACTTTGTACTGTGTACAAAGAATAAAAAAAGAAAACTATAATAAATCAAACTAATTCTATATTGAAGACTTACAAATCCTTAGATGTGCACACCTTAGCTTCACTAAAACATGCAACCCCATATGAATCAGGGGGAAATAATTTTCTGGAAGTAAATTAGAAAATAAATTAATTTTCTTAACATGAAATCATGATCAGAATCATTTAAAATAGAACACCTGATAAAATAGCTGACCACATACTAAATACAAACTGATATCTTTATTAAAATTTAAATTTGCAGCTCTTGTGTAACATTCATAATCAAATCCATTTAGATGTTTCTCAGGATATGGCTAAATCTTAAAATATAATTTTTGAAAAATTAATATTTTGAAATTTAAAATAGTAGTTTGAAATAAAAATTCTACATGCCAAATTCAGAAGAATTTCTCCACAAATAAATAACTAATGACCAATTTAGAATTACATGAAATAAGACAGTGTTGGGGGAGAAACATTATAACTGATTTGCAGATGATTTAGACTGTTATACATTGTATTTAGAAGAACTGCCGCATGTTTATTTTAAAGTATCAAAATTTAAAAGTAATTTGTTTGTTAATAAAAATTCATTATGCAAGATTGATGAACTTATTTGTTTTTACACACCATAATTTTAACATTTCAATATTATTAACATGTAACTAGAAAGCATGGTGAATTATTCCTTAATTCAATATGAGATCTGAACTACTTGCAATGATATTCATGAGGCATTCTTATATACCTCAGCTAACCTCTACAAGCATATCTCAACATTTCCTGACAAGTGTCCAAACAGATGAAATATTAAAAATTATGTAAGTAAATGCATTTGCAACTGTAAAATATGATTGGTATTTCATTTTTGTACTTTACAAGTACACTTGTATCTCACAGTAGTTATCTTTTAAACTACTCAAAAGATTCAGCATTTTCCGTGCTCTGAGGTGTTCAGCAGTTCCAGCACTTAAGGGTTAGTTTCTTCTCACCACTATTCTGTCTCAAGGCATTCACTGATCTTGTCAAATCATCCGTTTTATTATCAATGCCCTGAGGTGTTCTGCAGTGCTGTCGTACGTGCCCTTCAGTACCACATTTCCAACACCTTAGAGCCACTTTGTTCTCACTACTACTCCATATCAAAGCATTGACTTGTCTAGATAAATCATCTAAACAAGCCATCAATTGATCCACTGGCTTGTGGACTCGCACAGCTCTGACTGGGTAGCGATCTCTACGAGTTGCTTTCTGCGCTGCCTCGAATTTCACAGGGTACAACACAGCGCTTTTTACATCTTTAACATCAGCCATTCGCAGAGCTTTCTGTATTTCAAGATCTCGGATGCTGTCAATGAAATATTGCAGTGACAGGATTTCCCTTTTTTCTGTTGGGCACTCCAAAAAGGTGAAATGGGACAGCCTTTAAAAATCCGTGGCAAGCTCCTGAAGTGTTTCCATGGGCTTCTGTTGACAAGATTTTAATTGAAGCCTGTTGTAGTCTTTTAAACACTTCTCTCCAAAGCGTAGTTCCAAAGCGCCAGATAGAGCTTCAAAGTCTAATCTCTGATTCTTGGAAAGAGTCTGCAGGTTATCCACTGCGTCTGCTCTCAAAGAAGCGGCAAGATGACAGGCCTTAGCTTGGGGATTCCATCCATTTGCTTCCGCCACTATAGAAAACTGTTTTATATACTTGCCAGGAGGTTTTCCCATCATACATGGATAGCTTCAGTAAGGGACTAGCAGGCATAGGTAAAAATTTAAAACCCTTAGAACTGCTTCCTTCTGTCGCTATGCACTTCTTTAAAATGCCAACTTCTTTGGCAACAGCAGCAGAAACCCTTTCAACAATTTGTTGTTGGACAGCAGGAACTCTTTCTTCAATTTGTTGCTCCACCACAGAAACTCTTGCTTGAATTTCTACAAATTTGTCTTCAACTGTATCTATTCTTTCTTCCATAGCCTTGAATTTGTTTTTTATTATGCAAGTAATTTCTCTCTTCATTTCTTCTTGACCCACTTTCATTTCCTTTTTTAACAGCTTTCATCTCTCTTTTAACGGATTCTCCCATCTTTTCCTGACCAGCTTCCATCTTTACCCGACTAGATTTCACCTCCTCTTTAACAGATTCTTGACAAACTTTTTAATTTCTTCTTTAAATGCAGCAAAGTCTGCCATGAATTGCCTTAACTGTTCTTCTATAGCTCTTGTGATTGGCATTCAAAATCCCACTTTTGATACCAAAAAAGTGTTTCATATGTACGGGTTCATTAAGAATTAAATGCACAAGTTTGATGAAAAATGAATAAAATTTATTTATTATCACAACAAATAAAAACAAAATGCTTAAGTTACCTCAGCTATTCATACAATATTCCAATATCTCACAGTAGTTATCTTTTAAACTACTCAAAATGTTCAATAGAACTAATTCAAATTAGAGAAAGCTAGTCCGATTTCACCGTGAAATCGCTATAGTCAAGAACAGCCGTTTTCTAAACAAAACTGACAAAACAACTACTGAATTGAGAGGTTTTAATCCTTTTTATAAGCTTTTTAAACCACGCACAAAACTGTTTTAGCAATTTCTGGAAATCAAAAAGAGATATTTATTTATTAAATGTTAAATGCACACGCTCTTGTATTTTTAAATTTTCCGGTTTAGCTTTCCCTTAATTCACCACGCGCTGCACTGCATGGGGAATAAAACAATTTAATTTATAACTCTACTAATATTAGCTATTTGAATACCAAATCCATAATACTATATTAGCACTCCCATACATGTTTGTGATGTAAATGTGACATCAACAAACAAGATGGATAGAGAGCACTATAGCTCTCAGTCTAAGAGGCACTAAAGTTTTAGTTTTAGGAGGAGACGTAGAGAGAGGTTTAAAAAATGAGGGAAGTGAAAACAAAATAACCCTGTAATAATTAATGTACATACTTCAGTTATCAGTAGTGTAATTTTAGAGGGATGTAGGAGGTAGTTTTTTAATGTTTAATAAACATTTGTAACTGTTCTTTGATAAACACAATCGTGGGCTAGCTCATGCAGCACAGGAACAGTTACAAAGAAAATGCACATCAGAATAGAACATACACTAAAACGAAACACCTAATATTTAGAAGTAACATTTAAAATTAAAAGTTAGAAATTACGGACACAAAATGCATAACCTATCCTCATCGCAGCTGGAAGTCGAATGACTGCAATTTGCTCTTTTATCACTAGATGGCATTCGATAAAATAGTTCGGTTACATCCTTACAGACACATAAAATGCATAACCTATCCTCATCGGAGCTGGAAATCGACTGGCTGTAAGTCGCTCTCTTCAACACTAGATGGCGTTCAATAAAAACAGTTATGGTCAAATAGTTAAGTTACACATTTAAAAATATGATTACTTTCTTAAATGATATAATAATGATATGATTTCTTCAATGATATGATATGATTTAAAAATAGATAAATTTCAATTTAAAAATATGATTAATTTCTTTGATGAGGCGAGTAGGATACTGAATGACATTAAAATGCAAGTTTAAGAATTTTCATTTTCTATATAATTTAAAAAGGCAAACTGTATACTTGCAATAACCCCCCTTTTTATTTTAATTTAAGATCAGGGTCATATGTATGAATGTATCTTTATGCACTCGCTGCTGTAAGAACGCTTTAAAACTGAATTTCTGCTCATATCAATAAGAAAATTATTTACAAACAGCAGAAAACAAAATTTTAAGGTAATTTTTTAAGAGGATTGCAATAACATATTTTGAAACTTTGGAAATGAATGATTAAACTCGAAAGAGGAGAAAATTTGTTCTTATCATGCTAAACTTTAATCCCTATTACAAGAATAATCTTCAAGTTCAATAATTTTGATCTCAAATTAAACAGTTTATATGAATTTCGGAAACAACACTTCCTTTCTACCATACAGGATTTTATGTATAGCAAACAGCATCAGGATAAAGCAAAGTTTCAGATAGCATTGGGCTAAAGCACAATTTTAGAAATGGTGTATTCTCAACAGGTTTATCAAGTTCCTTCTGTGGCACACATGGCAAAATGCCCATTTTAGCATGACAAAAGTCACTTTTCAGTTGGTTAACAGCCTGTACAAAAAGTACTTAAAACTAATCTACACCATTGCATCTGGTCCACCTGATATTTTTGTTTAAATTTAGAATAACAAAAGTACAAATGGCTATTGAAGTAGATATACTTAAAAAAGGAGGGAGAAAGATTTGATGGTAAATCAGTGCATAATCAATAATGTGTATGATAAATTAGTTCTATAAGGGTTAAGTATAATAATTTTGCTAACTTGGAAAACCCTTTAAACTATAACTTTTTTTTTTTTTTTTTTGTGAAACCCTTAAAACTATAATTTTCTTGTGGAACCACTGCCATTCAGAAGGGGGAGAGGTTCAATTACATTGAATATTATTATTGAATGCATGTTACGTAGAATATTTTTTAAAATTATTTCAGCCCAATTTTTCACACAAGCTGATTTATTTCACATTATTTTAGATAACAATAACAACAAAATTTTAAAAAAGTATTTAATTGATTATTTTAGATGGCTAGTTTTGCAGTACATGTATCTATTATTATTATTTATTATCTAATAGGGGGACCGGAAAGTATATGTCATTTCTGCGCATGTCGACAACAACATGCTAAGGGTAGAAGTGGAAGCAAATCCATGTCAAACACTTTTAACCAATCTTGGTCAAAAATCCAAGAACATTTAAAGCAGAATGGAAAAATAAGCAAAGCAGGTGTTTAAACAGGGTTCATAGCCACATTTTAGTTAAGAAAATAAGCACCTATAAGCACTTTTCAAGCACATTTTAAGAAAAAAAATAAGCACCTGTCTAATGACGTTATACACAACTGCATAACCTTAAAAATTAGACTTGTAATTTAAAATATGAGAAATGCAGTATTTATTAAGAGAGAATAAGCATTACCTCAACCATGGAAAATAATTACTTTTTTTTTTTCTTTAAATTTTAAATAACAGTTCAATTTACAGAACTAGTTTACAATGAGAGAAAAAAAAAACTATGCAAAACTAAAACTATATTACAAGATTTAATGATGAAATTTCAGTTCAAAATAGAGAGAAAATAAATAATAATAAGGCATATTTATCGTATTTGCTTGGAACCTAATAATAAATACAATTTATTTTTCCACTCATATTAATATTTAAATAATTTAAATCTAAATTCTGAACATTATCTAAATTTTCATTGTATACCAGTTTTCCCTTAACAGATATTGCAACAGTAATTTAAGTAAAAAGAGGAAACAGATTGCAAGCAAAGTAAGTTAAAGTAAAAAAGAGGAACATTTCTGAAATCAGAAGACGGGAAATTTGCTTCATGCAGACATTCCTTTAACAGTAAAAGTTTTAACTAACCTGCATACTTGGAAACTGGCGAAATATTTCGGACAGTTCGAGCTGACCTGGGAAAAAGAGGAGCGCGGGGTAGGGGGATAAGACTGTAGCCGTTCTTTAGATTTTCCCGCTAAATAAATGCTTTTGACATTTCGATATGTGCATCATATAAAAATAAACCAATGGAACTGAAAAATATTCTGCTTAGCAAGCACAGTAAAACTCTTTTAAGTGTTCATAAACAAATCTCGGATAGAACATCAAAATTAATTATCTCTGCAAAATATCGCAAACGTTATTGTGCAATACTTGTGCCGTAATTCTTCCCTACATGATATTACACAATCGGAATCAACAGCTGCCAGTATTCGGAGAATAAAGAACTAAATAAAGGAAAAGAAACAGACTTACCATCTGGGGTGTTTTTCATTCTAATTTTGAACAGACTGCGTTAAATTTTTGGAACAGAATCATTCTTTGCTTGGGTTGGTAGACTGCAGAACTTTAGTCCTATTCAATCCAAATTAGAAAATGACCCAAAAAAAAAAAAAAAAAGTCTGTTGCTTGTTTTGCAGCAAATTGCAACAGTTTCAAAATTCAAGATTTTGCGGAGAAGGGGGAGAACCTCCCAACCTTCCGTACTATATAATGTATTGGCCAAAAAAATGAAATTATTTTGACTATTCGATTACTTTCCCTTTATTTAAGCCATTCCGAATATTATTCATAAAAAGTTAATCTGTGTTAAAACACAACCATTTTTGGAAGTTTACTATACTTCAGCAGTTACTGCAACTATGTTATTATAAACATTCATACATATACTCATAATATAAGCATAATGATCATAATAAACACAAATATGAACTGATCAAGCGGAACAAGAATGCAAATTATTAAGATCTGGATAGAAATTCAAACGTGTGTAGTATTTAGGTGGGAGGAAAAGAATGCCAGAATGTACCGAAGTTTTCTACCGCTTTCCCAATTCTTTGACCAATAGAACGACGGGCACCCGTCTGTACTCTTCGTGCACACCAAAGGTTATGTTAATGCAGAGAAAGGGGAAAAAGCTGTTTCCGGGAGTATGATTCACTCTCTGACATTCCATATTAGGAAGAAAAGTTGTTTATTTTGTTTCGGCTTTGGTACGGGGAAAAATAACGCGTTCATTAAAAAAAAAAGCATTAAAAGCAAAAAATAAGCACTAAATAAGGGCTTTAAAGAAAAAGTAAGCACTTATAAGGGCCTTTATATTTTATTTTCAAATATAAGGACTTATAAGCACTTATAAGGACCGCTACGAACCCTGTTAAATTCCCCATAATCTGTCCGAAAAGAAAAAAGCCAACCTATCCATCACATGCAACGTATTGCTTCAAAAGCACCATACAGAACTGTTTTTCGATCGTTTGTTTAGTGGAGACAAAAAAATAAGTCCTATATGATAATCCAAAACTCAAATGGCAGTTTTAATATGGGTTACAAAGGGTTTACATCCAAAAAGGCGCTTCTGGGTGTTTCATGGAGTATTCCCGGAATTGTTCATTTTGAATTGCTGAAACCTGGACAAACTGTTAATGTAGACCTTTATTGTGAACAATTGGATCGAGTGAACCAATCTTTATTCGAAAAATATCTGGCGATTGTCAACAGGAAACGGCGTCATTCTGCAACACAGGACAATGCGAGACCTGCACTGTGCAAGACGAACACTGGAAAAAATTAATGAATTGGGGTGGGAAGTACTACAGACGAACACTGGAAAAAATTAATAAATTGGGGTGGGAAGTACTACCATACTCAGCCGATATCGCAGCATTGGATTTCCATTTATTCGGATCCCTACAACATTTTCTTAGAGGCAAAAAATTTGAAAATTTGGGTGATGTCCAAAATGTCCTCTCGAGATATTTTACTCGAAAACCAATTGATTTTTATCGTTCCGGGATTGAAAATCTGCACATTAGATGGCAAAAGGTTGTTGATAACGAGGGTGATTACATTATTGATTAAAAATAAAACTTGTTAAAAATGTATTCGTTTGAATTTAATGTAAGAAAACAACATTACTTTTCGGTCCCCCTATTATTATAATCTATTATTATTATTATTTATTATCTATTATTATTATTTATTATCTATTATTATTAATTATCAATTATTATCTATTATAATCTATTATTATTATTTAAATTATGCTTGAAGTCTTTGAACCCCTGAAGAATCTGCTCAGAATATTAAGGTATTTGAACACAGTTTGTACCATACGTTTCTAAAAGTATTACATCTGCATACTTTTTTGTCAACAATCAAAGTGCTCTCAATATTTGCATACTATAATATAACTTTTTTGCATAAAAAATAAAATGACACTATCTATAACAAGCTTTCAATAAAATACCAATTTACATCTTTGTTATAAAATAGCTACTCTGATTATTTAAATTGTATATCTATATATCCTTGTAAATATTCACTACATTATTTCACCCTTTTCTAGTAAATGTTAATAGCACTGCTAGTACACTAATGAATAAGTACATGCATGACACTGTTTCAGAATTTATGTTTTTACATACGCATTCCACTGCGGAGAGAAAGAACTCCATGTATGCAAATCAAGGCCATTAGTGGACCCAAAGCTTTTCATTAATTTTATGTTCGGAAACTTGAATGGTGCAATTATATCCAAAGCTTCTCTATAACTTGAACAATTTGTCTCAGATAAACTGAAAAGAAAAAGATGATTTAAATTTATAGTATAGTTCAATTGATCTATAAATTAATATAACACACTACCGAAAAATTATGCACTCATGATGATATAACTACTAAAATAATTACTAGAGTAGTATGAAAAATTTTTTAAACAAAATGAAGTTTTTCAACTAAATTTTAAATTTTATTTGCAAATTATTTGTAAACAGTAATAACAATGATGCAAAGGAAAAATTCCAATTTATACGTACTTATTTTCTGTCTGAAATCTAAAAGTCTAAAGGTAAATCTTCAAAAAATTTCTGTTGGTTATATTTCATAGTTCAAACACATTGATAGCTAGCTAAATATTAAACTTTCAGATTGACATTTATTCCAAATAATTATAATTTATTCAATTAATCACTAAATACTTTATTTGAACTAAACATAAACAAATTACAAAAATTTTCCAAATGGAATAACTTCCATAATTTGAGAATAATTAATGACAATGAGAATAAATAATTTTTCTTTTATTTATTGAATTTTTCTTTGATGCATTTAATTATATATATATATGTGTATGTTTGTGTGTACGTAAATAAACTTTATTTCTTGCTACAAGCTTGAGCTTTACCTCCTGGCACTCTGATTTTGATAAAGTTGCAACCTTGGAGAAAAATTGCTATAAATTATCTTTAGCAGGAATTGTAGATGCTAATTGGTCCATCTCATTCTTTTTCTAGACTTATTAATTTTCAACTACAGGGTAAAAAACATTGTTTGCATACAAATGCATTCCCAAATAAAGCAATTATTATTGTTATTGCAAAAATTCATAACAGAATATTTATCTTTTGACAAGTGCTAAATAAGATTAATCGGATTTAAATTTTCAAAACCTGTGAATACGACTTAAATTCCCCCCCCCCAAAACACACAGTAAAATAATTAACTCTATTTATTTGTTCATTTTTAATCATAATGAAAACACACAGTAAAATAATTAACTCTGTTTGTTCATTTTTAATCATAATGAAAACAATCTAAAACTAAACATTAATCAAAAATCACTAAATCTTAAACCTTTCTTAAAATTTTGGGCATAAAAATTAATTTAAACCTTTCTTCAAATTTTGGGCATAATAATTAATTTAAACCTTTCTTCAAATTCTTACCATAATAATTAATGTTATAACAATGCTAACTCCCAAAAGTGAGAAAAAATTGTTAAAAAATCATCTCAATGTACTAACAACAGCAGACAGTTTTACATCCAATATTTGCAGAAGAAATTCCACTGCTTTAACCCAATGCGTTTCAAAGATTGAAACTATACCAAGACAAAGCAACAAGCATACTACAAAAAATACCACATATAATATATTCCTTGAATTTCATCTACAGACTATTACACCTCTGGTCTTTTGAAAATAGCTCCTTCAAAGCACAAACCCACAATGATGAATGGACTCTGGAATGTAGTAAAAGAGGAATGGAAATCATGGAAATTTTATGTAAAGCTCTTCTAACATGGAAATCAAGCTGCAGACTAAGTTAAAAAAAAAAAAAAAAGGAGGCAAATAAAAAAAAAAAAAAAAAAAAAAATTCTTTATATTTTAAACATTCATTAAATGACCACAAAATAGTTCTAAAAATGCTGTATAAACACCCCCTAAGAAAACTCTGCATAAAACCACACAATCAAAGGATTGTATTTATCATATTCTCAATAAAATTTTCAAAATGCAGTTTTACTTGTCAAAGAAAAAGATCTTAAGTGATGCAGTTAATTAAACTTGGAGAAAACTGATACGTATTTCAACAATCTGGAGCCAGAATACATGATATTCCACTGAATTACTTAAACACAGTGAAAAAAAAATTACCTTTAAAAGAATATGTAATGTTAAAAAATTGATTTAAAAATTCAATTAACTGAATTCTAAATTTAAAGAAAAAATATTACTATTTTCTTAATTAGTCAACAAAATTAACTCAAATTTAACAAAGAGGAAAATATTTTTAATATTTAACAGAAAAGTAACATTAGTTCCTTCTTACTTCAAAAAGCAATGAAGAAGCAAATTATGTAGGGATGTCTTTTAAAAAACTTATGAGGTTGATGTGGGGGTTTCTTCCAATGAGATGAAGGCATGGAGAAATGACTGAGAAATGCTCTAGCAACAGGTAGAGCAGGATAAAATGTACTTCAAATCATATGGTAAAAAGAGATAGAGCTGGTTTACAATGAGTGAAAAAAAAAAAAAAAAAAAACTAGCAGGACTAATCTATATTATAAGATTAAATGATGAGATTGCAGTTCAAAATATAGAAAATAAATAATAAACCAAATTTATTGTATTCGCTTGGCACCTAATAATAAATGCAATTTATTTTTTCACTCATATTAATATTTAAATAATTTAAATCAAAATTCTGAACATTTTCTAAATTTTCACTTTATAACAGTTTTCCCTTAACAGATATTGCAAGCTAAGTAATTTAAGTAAAAAAGAGGAACATTTCTGAAATCAGAAGATGGGAAATTGCTTCATGCAGTCATTCATCCTTTAATAGTAAAAGCTTAACTAACCCTCGCATACTCGGAAATGCCGAATATTTAGGATAGTCAAGCGTAACTGGAAAAAGAGGACAGGGAGGGGGGTGTAGATTGAATTTTCAGCTAAATAAATGATTTAGGCATTTATATATCTGCATCATATAAAAATAGACCAACGGAACTGAAAAATATTCTGCTTAGCAAGCACAGTAAAACCCTTTTAAGTGTTCGTAAACCAATCTCCCACTGAACATCAAAATGCAAATCTGCAAAATATCGCCCCTGCGTGATATTACGCAATCGGAATCAACAGCTGCCGGTATTCGGAGAATAAAGAACTAAATAAAGGGAAAGAAAGAGACTTACTGATCTGGGGTGTTTTTTATTCTAATTTTGAACAGACTGCATTAAATTTTCAGAATACATTCTTCGCTTGAGTTGGCAGACCGCAGAACTTTTAGTTCTATTCAATCCAGATTGGAAAGTGATTCAAAAAAAAAAGTCTGTTGCTTGTTTTGCAGTGAACTGTAACGGTTTCAATATTCGAGATTTTGCGGAGAAAGGGGAGAACCTCCCAACCTCCGTACTGTATAATGTATTGGAAAAAAAAAGAAATTATTTTGACTATTCGATTACTTTCCTTTTATTTAAGCTATTCCAAATATTATTCCTTAGAAAGCTAATCTATGTTAAAACACACTTACCCATTTTTGGAAGTTTGTCTATCCATTTTTGGAAGTTTATCTATATTGCAACTATATAAATATTCATACATATGCTCAGAATATAAGCATAACGATCGTAATAAATGAGAATATGAACTGACCACATGGAACGAGAATGCAAATTATTAAAACCTTGATAAATATTCAAACGTGTGTAATTGGATTATTAAAACCTTGAATACCGATATTCAAACGTGGAATTGTTTGGGTGCTTTGAAAAATTCACCAATAAAAAACCGAGCGAATTTTCTGTTCTCTCCCACGCACCAATTTTTTTTTTTTTGGGGCAATTTTGTTTTTTTTTTTGTTTTTTTTTTTTTTCTTTTTTCTTTTTTACGTTTTTTTTTTACGTTAATGCAGAGAAAGGGGGGGGGAACAGCTATTTCGAGGAGGAGTATGATTCACCATCTGACATTCCAATTAAGGAAAAAAAGCTGTTTATTTCATTTTGGCTTTGGTACGGGGGAAAAAATGCACGTTTCATAAAAAAAAAAAAAAAAAAAAAAAAAAAAAAAAAAACCACTAAAAGCAAAAAATAAGCACTAAAAACAAAAAAATAAGGGCTTTAAAGAAAAAGTAAGCACCTATAAGGGCCTTTATATTTTATTTTCAAATATAAAAAAGAATTTTGGAAAAATTATAATATTTTGTATTTAAAAAAAAAATTTTAAATGAAGCTTCCGAGTACACTTCTCACATCTTTAAAAATGTTATTTTGGCAACAATTTTGCTGTCTTATTGTTGTTGATAGATTTTTGATGAAATCACATCATTTTGAATAGTTTCATTCTTTTAGAAAAATGGGTTTGGTAACAATTTTTCATTGTATTTCTTATGTCACTGTTTTTAAGAGATTGGCATATTTCATTGTCATTTATTTATATATATATATGTCATAATAAAAGCAAAAGGAAAGATGGAACACTGTAGATGCGTGATTAGACCCATATTGAAGAAGATTTTGATTGCGTAGTATGCTAGTAATGCTAATAACTTGGTAATATGTAAAGAACTTGGCAGTCGAGGCAGTTTTAATTCCATTTTTATTTGCAATTGATATTCGTGACCACAATCACTTGGCACTCTAGTCGTTCCTTTCCACAGAAGATTTACATTTTTGATATTGTTGAGATAGAAAGCAAGGCAGAGAAATTACATCTTAGCACAGTAGAGAGCAAAAGCTAAAGTGCGTAGTTATGAAAGATGGAGCACGCGAAGAGAAAAGTTTTGGTTTACAATTATTATGTCATCAGAGCTGCACGGGCCATAGAATGATCTAGAAATGACGCAATGCAGAGAAGTTATTACGATTTTAGAATAGAGAGGAAGAATTAATGTTTATAGTTTAAACTATAATTTTGATTCATATATTTTTATCTTACATATATATATATATAGATAGATTTTTTTTTTTTTTTATAAAGTAGTTCTGTAGAGTAAAATTCTGAGTGGAATTTTATGTTTTTTGAGTTGCTTTCATGTTATTTTTTGCTTATTTCACTGTTTGTAAGATATTGAAAAGTTTTGCATGATTTTTTTTTTCTTCAATGGAAAGTTGGTTAATTTTTTTATTAGGATAATTAATATTTGCATTAAGGGATATAGCTTATTTCATTGTAATTTTTTCCTCTTGAAAATATAAGATAAAATATTAATTATACTCTGCTTTTCAGAATTTTTTGTTTTTTGTATTCTTTTATGTTTTTTATTGCTCCTTTTACTTTTTTAAGATATTGAAAAT